TTTTTTTTTTTTTGTTTGAATTCCTTATTTGGCCTTTTAACAAAATATGTAAAAAGAAAAAGCATTAATAATTTATTACTATGCGATAAGTCAGGATTATTTTTTGTGTAGTCTTCTGCCCCCTGTTATCAGGTGTATCTGATTGTGTACAATAGGATTTTGAGCAAAGTTTTTACCATCAAATTATGCAATATCCCTTGTATTGCTGAAAAAAGCTTGTTGCTAGAATGAGGATTGTCTTTCAGAATGTTTGTATGTATTCCATATTTTGCTCAAAGTAAATCAACAGAGAAACAGTCCGTTTATCAAAGGTTGCTGAGTCATTGTACAGGTATTCTATTCCCCACCCGAACACGGGATGTTTCACTGGACGCACACACGTAGCTTTTTGTACCAGAGTTGTAATCTTTGTGTCAGCTTTTAGCTGTCAGCTCAGACCTTTAATTAATCAAATTCCATAAACGTGTCACGAGCAGGCAGAGAACAAGCCGGAGCAAGAAAACAAGTGTACGGGCTTCACCTCCGAAATCTGACTCCAGATCGCAATCACTCCCCGTCTCTCATCTTCTCATCTCCCCCACCGATGCCAACACTGATTGGCTGATCCCGGTCCTGATCCCGGTCCTGATCCTGGTCCTGATCCTGGTCCTACCAGAAAAGAGACGGGAGCAGGTGGCTGATACACAACAAACAAAAGCATAATAACGGTGTAATAACCCTGATATTAAAACAGCTGGATGACTACTATCCAAAGAGAAACGCCACTCATCATGTTGGCGGGTTAGGGTTAGGGTTAGGGTTAGGGTTATGAAACTGAATGGAGTTTGCTTTTATGTCCTGACAGGAGCCACTTTACTGTTTAGTGTTTTAAGCCCAAAGAAAGACAAATGGCTGGATTGAATTCCCTTGGTGTCTACAAAAGTGTAAATGTGCATTATCATAAGTTTACCATTCTTTTAGTTCTGGTTCTGGACTAATAATAGTTCCTTCTGCTCCCTGATAACATAACATAACATAACGTAACATAAAATAACATAACATAACACAAAATAACAAATGGCGAGTTGAAACATTGCCTGTAGAAGCTTGTGTTTGGATTCTGATGCCTACATGCTAATGTAATTTGTCTTTGAACGTGTTCAGACTGATTGGTTTCCTTTTTTTAATCACTCTGCAAACCTTCATGTAAGAGGCCACTAGTTTAAGGATGATCATGAATAATGTTTTCCATCCTTACTTCACTTTATGATTCAATTAACTTCCTAAAAGCGTCTCTTTTGTGCTTTCACTGCCAATGTTTTTATTTATTTTTATCATCAATGATTGGATTTTGTCACAAAAATATGTGCACACTAATTTCTCCTTGACCTATACTGTTAATTCTTTGTTTTCTTGTATTTTTTTGCTATTATTTAACAATTAACAAATCTTAATGCAACACTGGAGTCCCAGAGGCTGAAAAGAGAGGACTGCAAACGGAAGGCAACACGTAGGGATGCCAAACAGGGAACCGGAGCTGGTATGGAGGGGAGTGTGATTACTGGATTAAAAGCAGGTGAGGCAGGGACCACAGAATAAAAGAACTGAGCTGATGACCGGGACGGAAAAGTACCGAGGAGGAAAGAGGAGCAGAAGGTAACTGGAGGTTACTGGTAGTACAAAACTAGACATAAGCATACGAAAGTAGGGGAAAGCATCAGCTAAGGAAAGAGAGCATTAAAAGAGAAAGTAAGATAAATGGAACTATTTAAAGAAATCAAATAAACAAACAAAAACAGATGAAATTGTAGTAATAAAATCAGGATTTCATTCGATTTTATTCTTATTCTGTTCCATCTGGCACTCTGACAAAATAAACAACAAAAAAAGTTTGAAATAGCAGCTTTATCAAATATAAATCTTCATAAACATGCAG